CTCCTACAATACTTCAGCTGAGGTCTAATCAGTATTTTATAAAGGGTCAGCGAAATGTCCTTGCTTTTAAATGCCACTGCTTTATCAAAAACTAGAATGAATCCCCATTTGCTCTTTCAAAGATTTCTTTCACTGCACTTCCTATAAAATTGTATTGCTTCATATCAATTCTTCGTACCAAAATTTATAAATTTCTTATTTCTCTACCACGGCCTATTCCAGTAGTCTATGACACCCTGAATCTACTTTGGTCTGCTTGATTGTTTACTACAATTTGAGTTTTGTATCAACTGGGAAATACACTCCATTTGCCCATGTTAGGTCATTTAAATCAAAAGCAGCACTGACCCTCGCGTCAACTCATATGAATTAAGAGCAAGAGAAGGCCATTTGTCCCTCTAGCTTGTTCCACCATTCAACAGGATCAGACTGTTCCGATTGTGCTCTCAACTCAACATATCCACCAACCTTTGACTCCCTTGTCAATGAGGAATATGTCTACCTCTGTTTTAAAGTATTCAATGACTCCACTTCTATCACCATTCTCTGGGGTACAGAGTTCCACCGACTCATTTCCCTTCTGACAGAAAAATATCGTTCTCATCTTCAATCAGAGAAAGTTTATTTTTAAATTGAGTCCCTGCCATAGTCTTCCACTCAAGGAGAAACATTCTTTCAGCATCAACCCTGTAAAGTCCCCTCAGCATCTTGTATGTTTCACTAAGATCAATCATTGTCCCCTACTCCCCAATATTAGTTGAATGAATCTTCTCCGAACTGGTTCAAATGTATTTATACCCTTCCTTACTTTTTTTTTTACACCAAAACTGTGCATGGTACTCCAGTTGCAGCCTCACCAATGCTCTATACAACTGGTGTGTAAACACCCCTACTTTCATATCCCATTCCCCTTGCAATAAACAACAGGATTCTATTTGCTTTCCTAATCACTTGCTGAACCTTTATTTTGACTTCTTGTGATTAGTTTATCAAGAAACCAAGATTCCTCTTTATCTCGGAGTTCAGTAATCTCTTAATTTAAGTAGTACAAAGCTTTTCTATTCTTCTTCTAAAAGTGGACATGTTCACAGTTAACCACAGCAGAGACTATTGCCAAATTTTTATCCACTCACTTAATCTGTCGATGTCCCTTTGAACACTTATGTTCGTTTCACAACTTAGTTTTCTGCCAATCCTTGTATCAACAGGAAAATTAGAAACCATACCTTTGGTCCTTACATCCGAGTCATTTATATACATTGTAAATAAGTGAGATTCCATCACTGATGCCTATGGCACACCACTCATCACATCTTGCCAACCCAAAGGTTACTCATTTGGGTTCACTTTCTGCTTCCTATTAGCCAACCAATCCTCCATCCACGGCAAAACGATGCCTCTTCTTACACCAGGAGCTCCTGTTTTACTTAACAATCTTTGATGGGCACCTTGTAAATAACTTCTGGAATCTAAGTGGAGTAAATCCACTGACTCCTCTATCCACTTCCCTTTTACACGACAATTTTCAATCTGCTTGTTCACAATAAGATTTTCAAAGTGCCTTGCTACAACGTCCTTAATAGATTTGAGCATTTTTCATCTGGTAGATATTTGGTTACCTGGCCTCTAGCTTCCTGTTTTCTGTTTCACTGCAATATACTCCACTGCAAAGTGGAGTTACATTAGCTTTTTTCTGTCTGATGGGACATTTCCAGTATCTAAGGAATTTTTTGAAAATTAAAACAATTATATCTACTGTTTGAGCAGCCACTTCACCCTCAGATGAAGTCCATCAGGACAGGGAAGCCTGTCAAATTTTCTAAGAATTTTCTCAGTACTCTTTCCCTGGTGATTGAAATTAAGTTGCTTGATCCCTTTCAGATTCTGATTCAGAATTATTTCTGGGATGCAATATTGAAGACAGACAAAACCATATACCATTTCTGTTTTTCCACTATTAATACCCCAGTCTGTCTCCCTGTATAGAGAACCAATATTCCCTTTACTTCCTCTTGCTTTTTAAATACCTGAAGAAACTCTTAATATCTGATTTTATAATTCTAGCTAGCTTGCTAGCTATTATATTCTAATTTCTCCTCTCTTATTTCTTTTAGTAATTCTTTAACACTGTTCATAGTCTTCAGACACTTCTGGCCTGCTACTCATCTTTTTATTTCAATGTAATATTTTCAACCTTCTTTGTTGGCACTAATGGTACACCTTTCTCTTACAGTCTGTGTTTCGAACTGGGGAACACCACTGTAGAATCCTTTAAACTGACAAACAGCCATTCACTACTACTCTTTGTTTTCTGTACTTGCCAATTTTGATTTTGTGTCACGATTTCCTCTAATTATTCCAAATTTTACTAACAAGTAGTATATGTGATATTTTATCAAACGCTTGAAAAATCAATATTCACAATAAGTACTGCACCCTCACCAATTTAAACATGCTTATAAATGAGTCATATGGGGCTCCTGTGTCCCTACCTCTGAGCAAAGATGTCTGAATTCAAATCCCATCTGACCCAGAGGTGTGCAATAACATCTGTGAACAAGCTGATTGGAAAATATCTATAAATGAATTGTGGACAACTAGGATGTGATCCAATATAACCAACAGCACACCTTGGTTGTAGCAGATAGCTAACTAAAGTACTGAGGTGAATCAGATTGTTTTGAGTCTTGAACCCTTTTGAAATGTTCTGTGGTGGCCTATGGGATTACACAGATATTAAACTGGCAACAAAACTGAAAGCCCACAAATAAGATATAGATCCTTACCTATGTACATGTTATAGCTGCAACACTGTATCAGAAAACCGAAGTAACTCCATCAACAGTGCCTCAGAAGAGTCATGAAAATTCAACGGCAGCACAAAACGTCAGAATCTTATGAAAAAAGTAAACATGCAAAGCATAGAGACGTTCATAGTACAAAGTTTAACCAAGGTGGGATGGCCACATAACAGAAGACCTAATTGGGTAGTCCAGTAATCAATGTCGAACAAAAGCTTGATCCTCTTATGGTGGTTTGTTCAAAAGATTCAAGGATATAATAAGAACCTAAAGAATATGAGCAGGCAACTTAGTCCCTTCAACCTGCTCCAACATTCAAGATGATAAATGCTGCTGGTAGTTTAATTCCACTTTACTGTCAGTCCCCCTAATCCTGGATTTACTTGTAAATCAAAATCTGTCTTCAAATTAAATATGTTCTGCAGAGCTAGCCTCCATGTTCTGAGTACTGAATTCCGAAAATTGATCATACTCAGAAGAAATACCTCATCTGTCTTAATCAGGAGGGTACTTATTTTAGGTATGTTCTAGATTTCCTCATGAAGGGAAACATCACCCAATATCTACTTTCTTAAGCCCTCCTCTGAATCTTATATGTTTTAACAAGATCACCTCTCATTTTTCTCAACTCCAAAGATTGTACACCCAACTTAAGGCAAAATCCATTCATACCATGAATCAGCCTAGTGAATCTTTTGTATGGCTTCCAATTCAAGGATATCCCTCCTGAAATAAAGAGAAAAAAACTGTACATGGTATGGTCTCACCAATGCCACATGTAAATGTGACAAAAATTCCCTACTTTTATATTCCACTCCCTTGCCAAAGGCCAACAGTCCATTTACCTTCCTCACCTACTTGCTATACATGCATGCTAATGTCTTGTAAACTGTTTTGAAGAAACATATCAGACCCTAAATGTGAATCCCATTTCTCGCTCCAGAAATGCTGCCAGTTTCTCCAGCATTTTCTCTTTTTATTTCAGACTTTCAGCAACTGCAGTACTTTCCTTTCATTATTATGAATTCTGTGCCAGTTATTGAATGATCTTAGCAAATATTACACTACACTACATCTTCAGATTCCTTTCTTTCGACCTGCATATTAAGTTTGTTAAAGAATTCTAATTTTTTTTAAACAATTTATTTTTCCTGAATCCATGCTGATTCAACTTGATTGTATTTTAGTTTTCTAAACTTCTTGCTGTGAATTCTTTAGTGATGAATTTTGGCATTTTTCCAATGACAGACATAAGGATAACTGGTCTATAGTTTCTTGCTTTGTGCTTTCCTCTTGAATAGAGATACTACATTTGCAGGAAATTTTGCAAGATTACAACAGACACATCCACTTATTTTAAGATCGTAGAATTCAGGCCAGCAGATTTAGGGGACTCATCAGCTAAGTTCAGTATGAAATTTTCTATGTTGAATACCTCTGTGAATGACCCTGAAATATTTTACAAAGTTTATGGATGCATTTAAATAGCTGTTGCTAATTGTTGACTCTCAACTATAAATTAACTACAGACAAAGCATCATTATACAGTTACAAGTGTGAGAAACAAATTTTAAGATAGTTAATTTTGTATGGAGAAAAAGCTTAGAAAGAAGACAAGCTCATATTCAAAGCCCATTAGCAGTCTGTTACAACCCTAAGGATGTCAAAATCGTAAATAATCAAGCAAGAACTAGGGGGTATAGGTTTAAGGCGAGAGAAGAAAGATTTAAAAGGGACCCGAGGGCAACTTTTTCACGCAGAGAATGGTGTGTGTATGGAATGAGCTGCCAGAGGAAGTGGTGGAGGCTAGTACAATTGCAATATTAAAAAGATATCTGGATGGGTACATGAATAGGAAGGGTTTAGACGGGTATGGGCCAAATGCTGGCAAGTGGGACTAGATAAATTTAAAATATCTGGTTGACATGGACGAATCGAGCCGAAGGGTCTGTTTCCGTGTTATACAACTGTATGACTCTTGGAAGCCCGACCTGCTGCCAAAGATCAATTCCAATCTAACCCGTTTTCTCACCATCACTCATAGTTCTAGCATTTCTCCCCCCCCACCTGTATATAGCTGCCGATTAAAAAAGGTGTCAATGAACCAAACCAGTGACACCTACTACCAACAGCAGCAGCAGCACCACTATCCCTCACAGTTACACATCAGCCTGAGTATGTCTGCGGCCAGTGACTTACAGAGCGTTAATCAGCAGAGCACAGGAACTGATGTCCAGTCACACTGCGTGCTAACCGGTCACAAGGAGGAGAGATCACCGAGACCGCGAAGAGCCCCGAAAGTGAGCCACTCCTTTACCTAAAGATCCCGATCCGGACAACACGTCCTCCTCCACCCAGTTCCGGCTCCGCGGCCTATGCGTCATTTCCTTTCTTGACGTCAACGACAGGAAGTACAGCTCAGCATGCGCCTGGTTGTACACGTCACTACCGGTCTAGGGCGGAGCAGGATAGAAATCACGTGAGTTTCAGTGATTGTATTCATTCTTCGAAGTGAAGCTGTTTACCTGGATCGTCTTAGATGTTGTTTAAGGTGCTGATGGGAATAAAGGTGATAAAGCGGGATGAGAAGAAGTTTTCGAAGTAGGCCACACCCGTCTGTATTTGAAACAAAAACAGAAATTGCTGGAAAAGCTCAGCAGGTCTGGCAGCATCTGTGGAGAGAAAGCAGAGTTAATGTTTTGGGTCGATTGACCCTTTGGCTGCCCCATAACATGCAATGATCAAGGGTAAGCTGCTAGATTTTGGGGTCGATATCCAAATTTCTAAGTGAAACCCATGTGGCAGTGTATCACTTGCTGTCACCACCAGGAGACCACTACATAGACTAAAGCTTGCATAGAATAATCATGTTGGGAAGCAAGTGACAGGCATTCTGGCTTCATGATCACCTCAACTCACTTGTGACAATGTTAATATGGTGATGACATTTGGCATGCTACCTCAGATGAGCACCTCAGAATCTCACTTGGTCCTGCTACCTGATCTGCAGAGGCTTCTGAAGACAGTTCAAGTGTTTGCGTAGAAACAGTAGGGAGTGTCTATAGTAGAAATTAGTCTTCATAACAAAATTATCACCTGAACATCAATATCCTGGGAACTACTGACAAGAAACTAAAAGGAACGGCCACATAAATAGTCAGAAGATTGGTGAGGGGTGGGGGAGAAGTGGTGGTGGCAGTGAAATAATAAAATGCTGGAAATTCTAAGCAGTTCAGGCATCTGTGGAGAGAAAGTGGAGTTTCAGAACAGAAACTGGCTGTTCTGCATCAAGTGACACACTTCAGCTTTTCTCAAAGCATCTCCAACAGAAGTCATGAGGATGATGAAATATTCTGTACTGTCTGGATGGTGCAACTGCAGTCACATTCAAACAACTCAATGTCATCCAGGACAAAGCAGTCTGATTGGCAATCTACACATATTTAAGTCTCTACTGACTTCACCAGCAGTACACTATTACTTCAGTATTTACTACCCAAAGAATACACTGCAACAAGTCACCACAGCTTCTTTGCCAGCATTTTCAAAATTCAGTTTCCATCACTGATGCAGGCGCATCATCATCTTGAGTTTTGCTCCAAGATTCAACATCCTTAATGGGCGGCATGGTGGCTCAGTGATTAGTACTGCTGCCTCACAACGCCAGGGACGCAAGTTCGATTCCATCTTTGGGCAACTGTCTGTGTGGAGTTTGCACGTTCTCCCCATGTCTGTGTGGGTTTCCCCTGAGTGCTCCAGTTTCTTCCCACAGTCCAAAGATGTGCAGGCTAGGTGGATTGGCCATGCTAAATTGCCTATAGTGTTCAGGGATGTGTAGATTAGGTGGGTGAGAGGGGGATGGATCTGGGTGGGATGTTCTGACAGTTGGTGTGGGCTTGTTGGTCCAAAGTGCCTGTTTCTACACTGTAGAGATTCTATGAAATAATATTCCTCATTAGCATTTTCAAAATCTTGGAAATCCACACCCAACTGTAGTTTATGAATACTTTTACCATTTCAATGCAATGGCATAAGTAATGGCTCATGTTCTGAAAAGCAGCTGAGGTAGATAATAACTATCAACTTTTAACATTGCTAATAAAAGCTCACCCCAACAATCATACTTAGTCTCGTCTATTTGGTATCATGTCCCTTATCATTTTGCCTATTCATTAACATTCTCAGGTGACTGTCTTTCCTACCAACCACTTGTTGCACCACTACCTATCTCTTCATTGCTGAGGTACCCATTCAATTCTATGTTCTTTCTCCTGTCAGCTGTTAGTCACCTTCAAATTTATCTTTTTCTCCCTGCTGAAGTTTTCTTACAAGGGGGTCAGCAGCTCCATCATTATGTTTCCTTCATACATTCCCTGTTTCTGAAATTACAACAATGATTACAAAATTATTTAAATTTATTGTAAAGTGTTTTGTGATAGTCTAGGGTTGTGAAAGACTGTCAAAATGAAAGTTTTCCTTTTTAATTGTACCCCTTACCTTCCCTTACTTTTCATTATCCTTCAAACATGTCTTGTTTGCTCTCAACATTAAACTTCTTTAGAGCAGATTAGAGTGAGGGGAAAAAAGCTTGTTTGCTTCTTTTTCTGTTTCAGAGTTCCTTCCAAATATTCACTGGATTCCAGGTAGGATTTCCCTAGATTCTAGAAAGCTCACAACAAATTGGAAAGCAGCAAGTGTGACACCACTGTTCAAGAAAGGAGGGAGGTGGAAAACAGCAAACGGTAGGCCAGTTGGACTCAAACCTGGAGTTCTAGCTTTGAGGCAGGGATCTTACCTGCTATACCACAAGACAAAGAGCTATATCCAATTGCTGCTCAGTCGACACTCCCATTAGTATAATGGAAAGGAAAATTGGATGGTGTGCATAATAGATGAACAATACAATATCCCTCATTTTACATAGCCAAAAGTTATTATTACCTCAGTTAGATTTAACACAGATCCAGTTTTTCTAAAGGTAAAAGAGAATGTTGAGATGTAAATATGGAGCATTTACTCCGGAAATTCAAATTTCCAATGGGAAGAATTACATTGAGACATTCCTGATGGACTCTCACAATGAAGATTCAGGCTTGATACCTTATACATACTCAGATATTTACCCCACCTTTCTATTAATTTCAGGTATAATTCAGTGATTGATGGGAGGAACTGTTTAGGGGAGGCCTAAAAAAAATCCCGTGGTCCCCAAATCCACTGAAAATGCTCACCCATGCTGTGCCTCCCACAACAATGCTCAACCTACTGCACCCCTGACAAGTCACAGGAGCCCTGTCCCTCTCACTGCTCACACCAATGCACTACTTTCTGCTCCACATCCAGCAATACTCAGATCCCATTCCATTGACATTCATACACACCAGCACTGTTCCATACCCAACAATGCTCACAATTTTACATGACTGACAATGTTTATTCCTGAATCCCTGACAAAACCCACTCTGAAACAGAAAAAGAAGCAAACAAGCTCTTTTCCCCTCACTCTAATCTGCTCTAAAGAAGTTTAATGTTGAGAGCAAACAAGACATGTTTGAAGGATAATGAAAAGTAAGGGAAGGTAAGGGGTACAATTAAAAAGGAAAACTTTCATTTCATGTTAAGCAACCAAACAGCTTGGCAAAAAGCAAACCTAGCCTGCAAGCTTGCCATAGACAATTATGAAAAAGATGAATTGCTGCATAGTGGTGATTCTTCAATTCGGCAATGGTAAGTTGTGTGTTTTTTTTAAAGTCCATGTTATTATTTTGTCTTACATACTATGCATGATTCATCTTCAGAGATTTTTGCAGAAATTTGTTAAAGGAATTATCAATCAGTATCATGTTATTTTGATTTGGGGTGGCATGGTGGCTCAGTGGTTAGCACTGCTGCCTCACAGCACCAGGGATCTGGGTTCAGTTCCAACCTCAGGTGACTCTCTGTGTGGAGTTTGCACATTCTTCTCATGTATGCATGGGTTTCCTCTGGGTGCTCCAGTTTCCTCCCACAGTCCTGCTATACTATAGTGACCAGGGATGTGCAGGCTAGGTGGATTAGCCATGGGAAATGTAGGGTTATGGGGATGTGGTGGGTTTGGGTAGGATGCTGTTTGGAGGGCCAGTGTGGACTTGATGGGCTGAATGACCTGCTTCCACACTGTAGAGATTCTAAGATTCTACTCTATACCTGACATTGCTCACACCCCCTCATCACTTACACGGCACAACTCCCACAGCCTTTACAAAGTTCACCACTACTGCACCCTATAATGTTCACACCCCTCATCTACCCTCCTAACAAAAGCTCACCCCAATCCCAACAGTCCCCACTTGCCTGCACTTCCACCAATGATCATCCTGACCATACAGATGATATTGTTCATCCTGCTCACCTGCCCTTGCAATATTACTACCACACTTCGACAATGCTCAATCCCTCAACAGTGCTTACCCCCGGCAATGTTCAACCCCACCACAAACACTTAACAACAATTATACTTCTTAAATATCAGGAATAGTTTGAACTAACACAGTCTTCGTCAAGAACAATTAGAGATGTTCAATAAATACTGCACTTGCTAGCAACACATCTTGTGAACCCTTTGAAAGACAATGTGGGATTCCGGCTGAGGTATAATCTGTAAAACTCCTCCAGAACTATCCAGGAGTAAAGGTGAATATTTTCAAATCAACCTGTTCATTGCTTGAGCAAACTGATTGTTTACTTTATGATGTTGTCCGTACTAATTCTGCAGCTGTGCGCTAATTCCAAGCAGTAATAAACTTTATACTTCAGAAGGGGGCCATTCAGCCTACTTTCTGTAGAGTATTTCAGACCCTCGCAACCAAAAATTGAACTCAATTCCCAGGTCAAAATTTGTCTCTTAATAATCAGTCGGCGGGGTTGTCTGCAATGTTTTCTTATTCAAATATACTTATCGATGCAATGCCTAAAGAGTGAGAATCCCCTTCACGTTGTAAAGCGCAGGTTTTGTGTGGCTGGGAACTGGCTCCGCCTCTACAATGGCTCCGAACGGCAGTGACCAGCTCCGCAAAGCAGTGATCGTTCCCGGCAATGGGGTGGGGGATGTGGAGCATAGCAACTGGTACAAATGGGTGAAGGATAATCTGAATCAGGTCGGTATAGAGAGTTTATTCCACGGAGAACAGTTGGTTCTTGGCTGGAAATACTGCATGAGACACACAGGAAGATCCTACATTCTGCTGACGGACTCTGCTTCCGCTGGCATAAGTTTTCTTCAAATGTGCTCCTGTAGTCGATTCCGAGACTCTGATTTATTCATTCTCTTTCTTTATCTTTCTTTGTAACCTGGATTTACATAGGCCAAGCTTGTCTTTGATGTGACTGGGTAATGCCACTGACCATAGTGGTTCATAGCGACTGATGGAAAAACAATGCAGCTCAAAGACCACATTTTCTTGAGGGATTATTTACATAGGTCAGCTTGCACTTCTGCTCGACATCCAGATTTTGCCGCGATAGTCCTG